TGCATTAGTTCGTTTTTTTAACTCGTTAAATTTATATATATATATAACGATATATTATCACATAATACATTAATTTCGCGATAAACAATAATAATAATAATAATAATAATAATAATAATAATAATAATAATATTATTATTTCGCTGTTACTTAGATTTAATTAGCCGTTTTTCTTATTCCCATAAATTATACACTTACATATACATATATACATATATATGTATATATATATGCAATCAGTCGTAAAGGTATATAATATTGCACAAGAGAATGAGAGAGAGAGAGAGAGAGAGAGAGAGAGAGAGAGAGAGAGAGATAATTTTTGTTATTGTTGTTGTTGTTTTTTTTTTGTCAAGCTATAGGATTAATAATATTTTTTTTATGTTTTTTTTTTTGGGGGTAATTTTTTCTTTCTTTCTTTCACTTCTTTTTTTTTTTTTAGCAACAAATATGTTAATATGGCGTAGGACGATAATGACGCACATATACGTCGTTGGAATTTTTCTTTTATTCTTTTTTTTTTTTACACTTGAATAAGTATGTGTGAATTATACGTGCGTCATTGGCACCACTTGTATTAACCCCCACGCTCCCTCCTCTTTTCTTTTTGATTTATATTATAAATAAATTTATTTATTTTGAAATAATATAATAAATGTAATTAAATAATATGTAATATTTTTTTTTTAAAATTGTAATAAATAAAATATTTATTAATATTATTATAATAATTTATCTAAAAAATGTAATAAATAAAATATTTATTAATATTATTAATTTATTTAAAGATGTAATAAATAAAATATTTATTAATATTATTAATTTATTTAAAGATGTAATAAATAAAATATTTATTAATATTGTAATAATTTATCTAAAAAATGTAATCAATAAAATATTTATTAATATTATAATAATTTATCTAAAAAATGTAATAAATAAAATATTTATTAATATTATTATAATAATTTATTTAAAAATGTAATAAATAAAATATTTATTAATATTGTAATAATTTATCTAAAAAATGTAATAAATAAAATTCAATTGTCATTATCATCAATCTATAAATATTTTACACATTTAGTTTGTCAAACGAACAAATAAAAAAAAAAACAAACAAAACAAAAAAACAGACAAAATAGTTGCATCTGATTCGTTGATTCGATGTAAAAAAAGAATTCTATTGATTTTCATTTAAAAAAAAACATGATGTAACATAAAAAAAATATTGAATTAATATTTAATACGTACACACGTATTAGGTGGTTCGAAAAGTCGAAAGTTTCGTTTATCTTTTTGTCAAAATGAAGATAACTCTTGTTTCGAGGTTAAACCTAAACCTTTCAAGTGGTCATAAATAATTGAATTTGATAAATTTAACCTCTTATCGATCTCATGTCTTACTATTTGTCGGTTTGCATCAACTAAATGTCATTATTGCGTCAGCAAAAAACCAAACGACTTTTGCGAACCACTTAATGTATTGAATGTGACGTAGGATTGCTTGAGTGGAGGGGGGAATCACGTGATCTTTCACGATCATCATTCAACGAACACATGAAGATAATTTTTGTTT